CTTGCTCAGGAATGGCAGCAGGCAGGTGTGAGCGCATCTGAATGCACAGTGAGGCGAATACTTTTGGAAGATGGCCTGGTGTCAAGAAGGGCAGCAAAGAAGCCACTTCTCTCTAAAAAAAACACAGTGACAGATTGATCTTCTGCAAAAAGTATGGTGAAGGGACTTCTGAGGACTGGGGCTAAGTCATATTCTTGAATTGTTTGGTGCATCTGGAAAAAGGCTTGTCCAGAGAATAAAAGGTGAGTGCTACCATCAGTCCTGTGTCATGCCAACAGTAAAGCATCCTGAGACCATTCAAGTATGGGGTTGCTTCTCATCAAAGGGAGTGGTTCACCCACCATTTTGCCCCAAAACACAGCCATGAATAAAGAATGGTACCAAAACACCCTCCGACAGCTACTTCTTCCAACAATCCAACAACAGTTTGGTGAAGAACAATGCTTTTTCCAGCACGATGGAGCACCGCGTGGCCGCACCATAAGGCTAAAGTGTGGCGCGGGGACCAAAACGTTGAGAATTTGGGTCCATAGCCTGGAAACTCCCCAGATCTTAATCCCATTGAGATCTTGTGTCAATCCTCAAGAGGCGGATGGACAAACAAAAACCCATTAATTCGGACAAACTCCAAGAAGTGATTATGAATGAATGGGTTGCTATCACCCAGGATTTGGCCCAGAAGTTGATTGAGAGCACGACCAGTCGAATAGCAGAGGTCCTGAAAAAGCAACACTGCAAATACTGACTCTTTGCATAAATGTCGTGTAATTGTTGATAAAACATATGAAGTGCTTGTAATCATATTTCGGTACATCACAGAAACAACTGAAACAAAGATCTAGCAGCAAACTTTCTGAAAACTAACATTTGTGTCATTCTCAAAACTTTTGGCCAAGACGGTGGAGAATGGCAGCATGACACTTCTGGAGATGTGTTGTTTTTACTGGATAGTGATGAAAAGTTTAACTTTGTTGCTGCCATGACCTTCACTCGCCACACATTTCCAATGGCAAAAAAAAAAAAAAAAAAAACATACAAATAAAGATACAACTTCAGGAGGGATAAAAAATATATAATTTTACATTACTGTATGAGGAATAACTTACCAACAGTTTCACCTTCATCTACGGTGGAAACCAGCCGTTTTCCATCTGTTAACAGTTTAATGTCCTTTATTATTAGTAAATCTCCCTTAGGGCAGTCGTGCCATTCATCCCCTGAAACATGAAACACTACAACTGCTCAGAAATAAAAAAAAAAAACATAAGTTTTAGACAAGAGGTTTTCACCTGCAGTGTCTTATAAAAACACGTTTTTAATTTTCAATCTTAGTAAACATTTATAGCCCTAAGTGGACAATGATTCTAAACTGGGATTAAACAACAGAAACACCCAAGAGTGAAATGGTTTTTGAATTTGACACCATGTGACATTTCTACCCAAACAAGGTCACTTTACAAAAACACCCAACAATTAAAGCTGCAAGCAGCGTCGTTCGGCCCTCGCAGCGAAGATGCTCACCCTCCTTCCGCACCCCCTCCGCTCCATCCCCGATGCTCTCCAAACCCAACTCCCCGCCGCTCCGTCCTGGCCGGCAGCACGGGGCACCAGGGCACGTCCACGGACTGAAACGTCCACCACCCTGACACCAAGAAAAGCTAACAGTCACCTCATCCACACCTCACCCTGAATCAGCATCCCCTCCGAGCCTACCATTATATTACATGTCTCACCACTAGGGCATACTTTATCTTTAGCACACTGTTGGTGTGATGACACAGACCAACTTTAGTGCTTTTTTGCCCATATTTATTAAAGTTTTCGAAAGTTAAAGTTATCTAGGGGGCGCTGTGATCAATTACAGAAAAATCCCATTGAGGTCAGCTTTGGTTGACAAGGACAGTTTTCTGTTATTTTGGCATCAAACGGACGTTGTGTGTGTTATCTAAAGCCAGTGAGCTGAAAGGGGCGGAGCTACAGGGATTTGAATCAACAACCACATCAATGTGTTTGGTGCAGTCACGTGATGTCACAAGCCAAGTATAATGCCATTCTGACTTTGACTTTAGAAGTTAATAAAGTTTGAACCCATCTAGGGGGCGTTGTGACCATTTACAAGTAAATGCCATAGAGGTCATCTTTGGTCATCAAAGATGGTTTTCTGTAGCCTAGTGAACTAGACCAAATTCTTGCTTTGCAAAGAATGGTCTAGGCACGCTACATTGGAACCTCAGCAGCTCCTACCAGGACTCTGGCTAGCCAATCACAGCTCTCTAGAGGGGTTTCAAACACATAAAGAGCTGTGATTGGTCCATAATGGTGGGCCAATCATAGTGCTCTATCTGCTTAGTGAACAAATCACAGAGCTTTATCCTCTTTGTGGGCCAATCAAAGCACTCTATATGCCTGGTGGGTGGCATGATGCAACAGAGTGAAACAAGAGTATGTCACATTCATTGTCCAGTGGAATGCGGAGATCATTTGAAAGACAACATTAGAACCCGCCCCACCACCGAGAGCCGTCAATGGAGCATGGCCAGACTAAATAATACATTTATTTAGTCTGGCTTGCCAGGCTAGGTTTTCTGTTAATTTGGAATCAATCAAACGTTGCATGGGTCATCTAGAGACAAAAAGCTGTAAGTGGGTGGAGTTAAAGTGAATTGAACAAGTGATCACATACATGTGTTGATTGCAGATGTGTGATGACTCCCACAATGTTTGATGTAGTTTGGAACTTTTTTGCAGAAGTTACAAAGGTTTTTTGTATCTAGGGGGCGCTGTCCCAAATTTAAGAATTATTCCATGAAGAAGTTTGTAGGTTGATGACAGTCATTTGTGTGCAGTTTGGTGTGAATTGCATCATGCATGTGTTATTAAGGGCCTAATATCTGTCAGGGGGCGGAGCTAAAGCAATATCAACAACTTACCACAGGACTGTGGTGGGTGCCATTGTGTGAGTACACATAGCAAGTTTGGTGCAGTTACGACCTCGTCTGTAGGAGTTATTACAGTTTTAATGGTGTGTAGGGGGTGCTGTGGTGACATTACACAACTTTCACCAACGGTGTGTGCCTCGTTGAATAAAGGGCATGATTGTTGATTGCCATGTTCAGTCTCGGGCAGATCGGAGGTTGTTAGTGGAAGTTACAGTCAAACGTAAGGTCACGGCGTCACGCCAGAATTCGCCGTGGCATCAAAGCCCTTCCCTTTCTGAAAAGCTATCAGATCTGAATGGTCATTACAACATCATGAAGACAGTGCATGACCTTAGTGTCATGTTGACTAAAGTAGAGGGGACAAATATGGGCATTTCACCATTAAAAAATAGACTTCCTGTAGTCAGGGGGCGGGGCATAGGTGATGTCAGCTGTCCACATTGTCATTGTCTTGAGATGTGGTCAATGATCACACAGACGGAGTTTGATATAGATCTGATCATGCACATGGGAGTTGTTAAGTCAAGTAATGTAATGGCGAAAGGTCAAAGTTTGAGGCTTAGCCACGCCCACACCTTTATACTTGTATAAAATCCGACGGTTGAATTTTTTCCTCTATGTCTTAAGATTATATAGCAGGAGTTTGAAGGTGATAGGTGGAAAGGACGACGAGACATCATTCTCCTAATAACGTGTGTGAAAACCACTAAATCGAGTAATTGGACCAAAATGGCCGACTTCCTGTGCGACTTTGCACTTGGCTCAAAGAGACTTTTTTGTAGGTCCTGAGACCCCACATTAGTGTACCAAATTTCGTACTCCTCAGTCAAAGCATGGCTTGGGGCTGACAGTTTTAATGGACCTAGGGGGCGCTATTTCAGAAAATAGGCCACGCCCATTTGATGTTCACATGAGATCTTTTGGGGGGCCGGACTAGGATCACTCACAAGACGTTTCGTGACTGTATCTATAGAAATGACGACATGGGAGGCACATGTATGGTCACGGCGGTACGCCTGACTTCGCCGCGTCGCCACAGCCCCGCCTTCTGCAGAAAACACCCATAAAGTGACGTCAAGCAACGCCAACTTCTCTTCAGTTACCTGCTACAAATTCGGGCTGATTATTCGACAGGGCGAATTTTGGAAAATTTCCCAGTAAAACTTGACGTTTTAAGTCCTGAGGGGGCGGGGCTTGTGTGACATCATCCAGCGACCATTCATTTGTCTTCGGGGGGCGATGACGATTATCCATAGAAAGTTACTTTAACTGTAATTCTTTCATTTGTGAAATTATAGCAATTTGAATTTTTTTGGCGAGTGCTCGAACTTTGAGGCCTGGCCCCGCCCCTTCAGTATTTACGAAAAGTCAATTTTATTTTCTCATTTGAAGCGTCCATCGCTTCTGTTCGATGGCACACTATTTTTGAGACTATGGTACGAAAAATGACGAAACTGTTCAACCAAATATAGACCCTAGAAATGGCCAAAACGGCTAAAAATCGCCATTTCAACCCAAAATGGCCGACTTCCTGTTTTATATTGACCATGGTTGCAAGAGGCTTTTTTGTGCGGACTGTTGAGTAGTACCAGTATACCAAATTTCATAACTGTACGATAAACTAAGCTTTATGGAGAGGGGTATTTTTCACTCTTTAGGGGGCGCTGTCGAGCCACTTTTTTATCAACTTTCACATCGCCAGTGAAATACGTAAATTTCACGCACTTTCTATATTGGGCCAGAATTTGGTGACTTTTTGGATATGCTAAGACCCCCTAAAGGCCACCCAAAGACGCGGAAGAAAAAAGAAAGCGTAATAATAATAAACGGAGCAGATACAATAGGCCTTCGCAGCGCTTCGCTGCTCGGGCCTAAACTATTAGAAGTTCCCCATTATGTATATAGTCAGCAGCACTTACAGTGGGGCAAAAAAGTATTTAGTCAGCCACCGATTGTGCAAGTTCTCCCACTTAAAATGATGACAGAGGTCAGTAATTTTCATCATAGGTACACTTCAACTGTGAGAGACAGAATGTGAAATAAAATCCATGAATTCACATGACAGGATTTTTAAAGAATTTATTTGTAAATCAGGGTGGAAAATAAGTATTTGGTCAATAACAAAAATTCAACTCAATACTTTGTAACATAACCTTTGTTGGCAATAACAGAGGTCAAACGATTACTATAGGTCTTTACTGGGTTTGCACACACAGTAGCTGGTATTTTGGCCCATTCCTCCATGCAGATCTTCTCGAGAGCAGTGATGTTTTGGGGCTGTCGCCGAGCAACACAGACTTTCAACTCCCTCCACAGATTTTCTATGGGGTTGAGGTCTGGAGACTGGCTAGGCCACTCCAGGACTTTCAAATGCTTCTTACGGAGCCACTCCTTTGTTGCCCGAGCGGTGTGTTTGGGATCATTGTCATGTTGGAAGATCCAGCCACGTTTCATCTTCAAAGCTCTCACTGATGGAAGGAGGTTTTGGCTCAGAATCTCACGATACATGGCCCCATTCATTCTGTCCTTAACACGGATCAGTCGTCCTGTCCCCTTAGCAGAAAAACAGCCCCAAAGCATGATGTTCCCACCCCCATGCTTCACAGTAGGTATGGTGTTCTTGGGATGCAACTCAGTATTCTTCTTCCTCCAAACACGACGAGTTGAGTTTATACCAAAAAGTTCTACTTTGGTTTCATCTGACCACATGACATTCTCCCAACCCTCTGCTGTATCATCCATGTGCTCTCTGGCAAACTTCAGACGGGCCTGGACATGCACTGGCTTCAGCAGCGGAACACGTCTGGCACTGCAGGATTTGATTCCCTGCCGTTGTAGTGTGTTACTGATGGTGACCTTTGTTACTGTGGTCCCAGCTCTCTGCAGGTCATTCACCAGGTCCCCCCGTGTGGTTCTGGGATTCTTGCTCACCGTTCTCATGATCATTTTGACCCCACGGGATGAGATCCTTGCGTGGAGCCCCAGATCGAGGGAGATTATCAGTGGTCTTGTATGTCTTCCATTTTCTGATAATTGCTCCCACAGTTGATTTTTTCCACACCAAGGTGATTGTCTATTGTAGATTCACTCTTCCCAGTCTGGTGCAGGTCTACAATTCTTTTCCTGGTGTCCTTCGAAAGCTCTTTGGTCTTGGCCATAGTGGAGTTTGGGGTCTGACTGTTTGAGGCTGTGGACAGGTATCTTTTACACAGATAATGAGTTCAAACAGGTGCCATTAATACAGGTAATGAGTGGAGGACAGAAAAGCTTCTTAAAGAAGACGTTACAGGTCTGTGAGAGCCAGAGATTTTCCTTGTTTGAAGTGACCAAATACTTATTTTCCACCCTGATTTACAAATACATTCTTTAAAAATCCTGCCATGTGAATTCATGGATTTTTTTTCACATTCTGTCTCTCACAGTTGAAGTGTACCTATGATGTAAATTACTGACCTCTGTCATCATTTTAAGTGGGAGAACTTGCACAATCGGTGGCTGACTAAATACTTTTTTGCCCCACTGTAGTATTCATTAGTACTGCAACAGGATAGCTAAACACACCAGAAACTGCTCATTCATGCACCTTTCTACACTTTGTCTGCTCCTTGTTTGTCAGATCTCACCATTTTAACCAAACCCAAAATAAGCTCACAAGTCTAAAATGTAAACATTCATTCATAAAAAGCCTAAAAACAACCAGGAAAGATGCACTTTCTCCGCTCAAATGAGACTGGATCTAATGACACTTGGTTTTTCTGCATGGCTCAGAAGTGCCACAGGTTTCATTCAAGCCCCCACAATGCGGGTGAAAAATTGAAGCAAACCCGGAAATGAAATAAATTGCAGTTCCACCCTCATCCACTAGGGGCTGGTGTCAGAAGCGAGCAAATCCTCATAGATTCCCATGTTAAAAATACCAATTTCACAGCAGAAATAAACATGTTTACAGCCTGGTACCAAAACATGTTTTTGGTTTAAATTATCTAGTTTATACTCATGACAACTCTGAGGGGGGTGAATTTTTTCTCACTCTTCTGTTTAAGTGTATTAAAAGCCTAAAATTCTGTATAATTAATGAGCATCAGACCCACGTGACCACAGAGCTAGCTCCGTGGAAAGGCCTCAGTAGAGCCTCGGTCTGGCCTGGAAACTGCTCCGGGATTTTGAGTCTCTGTGTTTGTGTTTTCTTTTTTGGATATTATTTGTGCGATTGTTGGACAAAATGACTTGCTGTGGCATTAATTGCACTAATAGAGCGTCCAAGGAGTCTCCACTTCATTTTTTTTGGTAAGTAAAATTATATTTATGTATTTTAGGTCACTGCCGAGCTGAGCTTAGATTTTAACATGTACTGTTTAACCATGAAATTTAAATGTAATAGGGTAAAACCCAGTGCATTTAACATAATGCTGCACTTTAGAAAATGGGTTGAAATATAACATGTTGGTGGAGCTGGGTTCCCACTATCGGCTTGTGGAGCTCTCGGGAGACCGATGTTTCCACCCGGTTCTCCCCTCCCCGCAGCTCGGCGCATCTCTGTCTGGTCGCGGCTTCTGTCTGCTGTACGGCTGCCAGCTTGTGGAGCTCTCGGGAGACCTCTGTTTTCCACCCGGTTTTACCCAGCGGTCAGCCCGGCGTATCTCTGACTCAGAAGCTCTGGTGTTGTGCACAGTTAACTCCGGTTGTAGCTAGGTTGCTACCTCCGTTAGCTTAGCTCCCACCACTCTTTAGCTATGGGTTAGCTTCAGGTTAGCTTGTAGCTAGTTCGACCGGGTGTCGTCAGTCGATCCCAGCCTTACAGCCCCACCCTCAGCTCCACCTCTCTTCCCTCTTGTGGAATTGTCTGGGCTTGATGGAACCTGTGACACGGTCAAAATGGCGACCTCCCATTTATCCTCAAAAACGTGTTATTGGGGTCTATGGAAACCCATTGTCCAATATTTATATGTCGATGGTTTCATCACAGACACTAGGATACGTAGACGAGCTCATTGCAAATGTGGTATAGAATAGTACTGCTTCTGAAAAGGTCCAGGCCTGAGTTATGTAGAGGACTGATCCAAACTCAGTAACCACTCTGATTATGTCCTGAAGAGGCAGGTGGAGACAACAATACAAGACAGTCGTCACTCAGACACATTTAACAAAAAATAAATCAAACATAGGTACCCCCCCCCCCCCCCCTGAAAGTCATAAATAATTCTCCTCCTTTAAAGCAGCAATATTTACAGAAGAAGAGCCACAGAGACGGGAGGACTAAGCAACAACATGGTCGGACTCAGTTTGTGAGACTTATAGGTGTCGTATCTGCGCAGCGGCTCTGCTGCAGAACTTGGACCAAAACCAACCACAACATGAGAGTACAATCCACTAAAGCCCTTCTTTAGCTTTCTGCTTTGGGACACGTGGAGTTCCATCTTCTCCTACTGACTGGTCTGATCTCACCAGGGAAACACATGCTTTTGGTTGGGGGGCGGGGCAGTGAGGGCTCAGAATCTCCTCCTTTTCCTCTAAGTCATCAAAGTTTAACTCCTGCATGGCTCCCTGTTTCTTGAAAGTGTCCCTGCGGTCAAACAGAGCCAGCTTTCTCAACACCTCCTTGGAATGGTGGCCAGCGCCACGGTGTTGAGGTGAGCCGGCAGAGCGGTGGTGGTTATTGCCTCCGCTGGCCAAGTCCGGCTGGTCTTTCTGGCCTCCCACGCACAGGCCCTGGCGACCGTGTTCACCGACGCACACAAAGCTTGTTGTGGCATCTCCATCTTCCAGCCCCTCCCCTTCATGCAGAGGCATCTCCACAGTGTGCCGGCGGGTGCTGTAAGCCTTCCTATCGCCGTGGTAACCCCCTATCCCCGTCTTCTCTCCAGTCAGCTTCTCTGCTGACTGAACTCTTTTCAGCAGAGGCGAGCGTGGGGACTCGACATTGCGGGGGCGTATGGAGTGCCGGGCAACAGTAGGAGGGGATAAAGTTTTTCCATGGAATCCTTGAAGGGATTTGGGATGGCTTTGGAAGCAGGATGGCGAACACTGAGGGGAAAGAGGCTGAGGGGGAGGTATACAGGCAAGTGGTGAGGGGGGGATGCTACTGGTGGACTTGCAGCGACCAGCCTTGGTGTAGCGACCGTGGACGTGAAGCGAGCTAGGACGGGCCTGGGGTACGGGAGAGTTAGGAGAACTGGAACAAGGAGAGGAACTAGAATCTGGCAGATCACAAACAGAAAATCAGTTTAGATTTGACACAAACAGAGGGTCAGCAGGCTTCCTAACTCACCTCCAGAATAGTCCGGGGCGGGAGAGCAACACGGTGTAGATGGTCCAGGAGACAGGCTTTGTGGGGAAGAACCAGACAGACTGTCACTGGAGGACTGCTGGAAGCCTGAGGAGAAGCTGCGACTGCTCTGCATCGGAGAAGGAGGAGTGTACTTCGAGATCTTCTTAAACATGCGGCGCCGAGCACTGCAGAAAAAAAGTATTTGTGATATGTGCTGGTGCTGGTACGGACCCAATCAGGCCAACGATTCTGTTCTTTTAGATGACTTTTAGTTCATTCACCTGTCCTGGCAATCCTTCTTGTTTTTCTTGCTGCGTCTGGCCATCTTAGCTTTATAGCTGGCCTTTCGGGCCGGGCCCACCTTGATGGAAGTGTTCTCCAGTGCAGTTGTTTGCAGAGTGACCTTGTTCCCGCTCTGTTAAACAATGAAAGTTCACATAAATGCTTTACTGATTTAGTTATGAATGAGTGTTAATATGACCTAATACTACTGAAGTGCAGGTGTGGACAAGATGAGTATCACAACTGATCACTACACATGAGCTTATGATAGTTTGACGTGGTTACAAGGTCCAGCTCTGATGAAGATAATTACTTTACATACTCAGTCTGAGTCATTGTGTCAATGGGCAAGGCACTTCAACTGCCTCGCCTGCCTGTTTTTTTTGTCAAGAAATTTAAAAATTTTTGTCAAGATTTAGTTATCCAATTTATTTTAGTTACATTGGTTCTGATGCAATAATTTCCAACTGCTATAAAGGATATGGTACCCACAACTACTTTAAACCATTAACATGAATAATCATTAGACCCCTTATTGGCGACGCCCCTTCCTGATCTGAAGTCGACCCTTCCTCGTGTTCTGAAGTAGAAGTCTCCTCTGAAGTCAACGTGTCTGAAGTCGTCTCCTCTGAAGTCGACGTGTCTGAAGTCGTCTCCTCTGAAGTCGACGTGTCTGAAGTCGTCTCCTCTGAAGTCAACGTGTCTGAAGTTGTCTCCTCTGAAGTCGACGTGTCTGAAGTCGTCTCCTCTGAAGTCGTCTCCTCTGAAGTCAACGTGTCTGAAGTTGTCTCCTCTGAAGTCGACATGTCTGAAGTCGTTTCCTCTGAAGTCAACGTCTCCTCTGAAGTCGACGTCTCCTCTGAAGTCAACGTCTCCTCTGAAGTCGTCTCCTCTGAAGTCAACGTCTCCTCTGAAGTCGACGTCTCCTCTGAAGTCAACGTCTCCTCTGAAGTCAACGTCTCCTCTGAAGTCAACGTCTCCTCTGAAGTCAACGTCTCCTCTGAAGTCAACATCTCCTCTGAAGTCGATGTCTCCTCTGAAGTCGTCTCCTCTGAAGTCGATGTCTCCTCTGAAGTCGTCTCCTCTGAAGTCGACGTGTCTGAAGACGTCTCCTCTGAAGTCGACGTGTCTGAAGACGTCTCCTCTGAAGTCGACGTGTCTGAGGTCGTCTCCTCTGAAGTCGACGTGTCTGAAGTCGTCTCCTCTGAAGTCGACGTGTCTGAAGACGTCTCCTCTGCAGTCGACGTGTCTGAGGTCGTCTCCTCTGAAGTCGACGTGTCTGAGGTCGTCTCCTCTGAAGTCGACGTGTCTGATGTCGTCTCGTCTGAAGTTGACGTCTCCTCTGGGGTCGTCTCTGGGGTAATCTTGTCTGAGGTCGCCACTGAAGTCGTCTTGTCTGAAGCCGCCTTATCCACTCTAGAGGTCGACGCTCGTTCCACTCTAGAGGTCGACGCTCCCTCTGGTCCGACGTCTCCACCGTCTCGGGTTCCAATGGTGGTTCTGAAGGTCGCTCCGGTCCAGCCCGTCCCAGAGACTAGGTCCCTGGCCCAGCCTGCAGAGCTCCTCTGTCCCAGGCGCAGGCCCCCGGACTCTGCTGGTCCCTGCCGCCTCTCCATCGGTCCCTCGGTTCCTCTGGGCCCTCCCTCCGGGTCCCCCTCCTCCCGCCCTGCTCCTTGTTCCTGTGGGCGTCTGGGATCCGCCCTTTTAGGGGGGGGGGGGGGGGGGGGTACTGTCAGACCCTGTCCTGTCTCCCTGTTTGGTTCAGCCTTGTGTCTCGCTGATTACTCCCACCTGCCTCTCGTTCTCCAAATCACCTTAGCTCCCGGTCCTCCTGTATTTAAACCCCTTCTGTTCTGTGTCTTGTGTCGGTTCTTTGTTCCAGTGTCAGTGTGCCTAATAAACCTGTGTTCATCGTTCCCACTTGCCTGCCTGTTTGTTCCACCCGCGTCGGATCCTCACCTTGTCTCCGTTTCGTCCACCGGCGCGTATGACATAGTGGAGATAAATCTACCTACAATTTACTTTCAACACTTTGTTTTGTTTTCTTGTTTTTATTTAACTATTTCCTGTCCTGTCTGTCTCTCATCTTCCTGCATCTCCTCTAAACTCTCCAGAAAAACTGCTGCCTGGATTCTTACCTTTTCACCTCATCAGTTACTTCTGAGCAGATCAAAGGGATCTCCTGACCACAAAGCGGAGAGCGCGTTTCGATGCTGCGTCAGTGAGGTGAAATCACCGCAGCACACGATGAGCGAGCGCATCAGGAACGATTAAAAGACAGAATACCAGAGGATATAAACAGATATGAACGATTATGTGTTAATAACAATAGTTTTGTTGCGCCACCTTGAGAATGTATCGTGCGCTGGACGCAGCGGGCGCATCAACGATCAGCGCTCTGCGTCCTCTCCGCTCAACAGAACCCCGCTACGCCGAGAGTTCATAAATATTGTAATATAGGCAGAAACTGGATCTTTCCCTGAAAGATATCTAGCCCCCATAATTTGATCCCTGCTCCTGGATCATAAGCAACAACAGAGTAGTTCCCGCTGCTCCTTCAGGAAACGGCGCAAAAATAAATAAATAAAGAAATAAACTTTGGATCTTGTAGGCGTGGCGCTGTGATTTCAGCCGTGGCGGGCTGCCACCGCAACGCCTATATGAGGGAAACACTGGATTCACATGAAGTAGATTTAAATTTAATTATCTGAAAAGTATCTGTTTAGTTAAAAAACAAAATAGGTTTAGAGTTTCAGAACAGGAAGGTTATTTTTAGTTTTAAAGAGAAAGCTATTTGTGAATACATTAATGTTAATATTCTAAGCATAGCATTTTTTAACATAGTTAGCATATTCGCACATGAAAAGTATCAATGTGAATAAATCGTGTGGCAGTGGCTCATCTGTACTTTTTATTGTGTAATAATAATTGCTCACAGTCTCCAAAAGGTTGGAGAACCCTAGTTTAGAACATGTTCCAAAATCTAATGTGATGGAAGCCAAACAATCCTACTTTACATTTTCTGGATGTCTTGAAACCTTTCATTTCAGGAATCGGACGCTCCAGCAGAAATCTGGTGTTGAACTAGGGCTGGGCGATATGGCAAAAATAGAATATCACGATTTTTCCAATATTTTATCACGATTTCGATTTTATCACGATTTTTTATCCATGAATAGCATAACTTCAATTGCGTATTAAAGAAGAGAAGCATTGAATAAATAAACATTCATTCATATTAGGGATAATCAGCACAGTGCTAACACACTTATATTTTAAACTCACACCAGAGATGATAAAAGCCCTGAGAGAAACAATTACAAAAATCTGTTTCTCGTTTTTCTAGTAACTTAACATAAATTAAAATGGTAAACATATTTAAAGTGCAAACATGTCAATTGCAAACATATTGTACAAACATTAACTTGTTCAAAATACTATGTAGCTCCCAGTTGCTCATGTAGTGGATAGTTAAGCTCAAATACGGCTCTGATGTGCGGCTGGACCAGAGATCGCTTGTGGTAGCAAATAACTGCACATTCTGAATATTTTCTGCAACAAGTCTCTAGATAAAGTAAAATTTTCCAGTGCAGACTGGAGACAACCCATAGAAGCACTGATTTGATCTCATTTCAGAGAAAAATAGAACAGGTTAGATGCACCTAATAAATAAAATTACTAACAAACTCAGGATTCTTTCTTTGCTTCCCTGTTCTGGTGCTGAGAATATCACTAATGCGGATCAAAGGAGATCCACAGATGAATGCACCTCTTATTTATTATTTGGAAACTACATTTGCTGCAGCTGGCAGAGGCAGAGATTGTTTCTATTGATACACGGAGTTTACAGAATCATTTTAAATGTTAATAGGGGGAGACTGCAGGAGGGAGCGGTAAAATACAGGGGGTCCCAGCAAAAACAAGAAGTTTACAAGTCTGATGAAACCCGCTGGTTTTCCATCAGGCAGTCACGGGGCAGCTCCAGCGACCCAGTGACCGAGCTCAGTCCGGTACCGACACCGGCTCGGCAGAGGGTGGACGAGCCGAGGCGACGTCGTGCTCTGCTTAAGAAGCGGTGTTATTTTCCTGCTTCAGAAGAAGCGTCCAACGTGTTTTTACGCTTCCTCCGAGACATGTCACGTCACTAAGTTGTTAGCGCCGCGCGCTAAGGAAACCCTGCGTTCCTCTTCGGAACGAAAACCTCGTTGTCGCTCAGCCGCGGCGAAGCCATGTTTGTTCACACACAGGTGAAAACAAGCGGGGCACTGATATATTACTATGACTCACTCTGATTGGTTAAGGGTCAAACAAAGGCGTGTCATTCGCCTGAGGTAAGTTCCCTTTTCATTCAGAGGCAGAATTTCAACAGCAGAGATGTGAATCGTGATAAAACGGTCTCTCAAAAATGACAGACCGTCAGATGTGTAGGTCGTAAAACGGTCTAAAATCGTCATATCGCCCAGCCCTATGTTGAACTGACCTTGAGCAGAAGCTCCACCACCTCGGTGTGGACCAGTCCCTGGACCGACTCCTCATTGACGTGAGTGATAAGGTCACCGGCCCTCAGTCCGACCTTGTGAGCTGGACTGCCGTCTTCAACACACTGAATGAAACAACCAAACACACAGTTTTAAGCTTCAATATGCAAATTTCCTACAATACAGACTGTTAGATAACAGAAATACTAACTGAAAATGGACCACTGGGGTTTTTCAGCCCTGTGAGAGGTTTTGCAGGAATCAGAGGCACGGTGACACAAATGGAATGGTTCTACATGTACGGATGATGTTAATTTCCAAGCTGAAATGGATGTGTAGCCTGGGGTTAAATAGAGGTATTTAAAATAATAATAATAATACTACACCTAGGCTTGAAGATTATTTTAATGTATGTGTGAAATAAGTTTGTTTTGGTTCACTTTTGAGGTTTCAAATGCTGTCCTGAAGTGTGAACATGTTATCTTTCTGTATTTGGTTACTAAATGTCTCCAACACATCCAGAAACGTCCAGCTCTTTTCAGCTAAAACTCTCAGGATGATCATGTCACGGATGACTGAGAACTAACCTCCATGCTGCAGCAGCATTCAGTCAGAACAGGAAGTGAAACTTAAATGTAGCTGCTGTCAGTAACAATCTAACAGATTTTAAACATTAAAGGGGCATTATGGAAGTGTGACAGCCAAAACATGTATAGAAATAATAAATGTCTTCTTCATACATTCTCCTGCAATGCCCTGGTCCTGTAGAATGAGCCCTGGCATTTTTACTGTGATTGCCTGTTTTTCTGTAAAATCACAGAAAAAGAGAGATGCTCGGGTCGAGCAGGCTGCTTCATGCGCGTTCACGCTCAGGCATCGCCCGTAGCATTTGCTATCCGTAGCTTTAGCAGCAGAGAGAGAGGCAGTGCCACTTTGTCGCTGTTCCTAACGCCTAGTGACAAAGCTAGCTACATTTCTGAGGACCCTTAGCTACTTTCTGTAGAACTTTCTTCTAGATATTTCCTGCTAATTAGCAACAAAATAGCCATTTTCACTCCGAACCGTTCTTTGAACGTTGTTTCAGCTGTCATCAAGGATATAAATGTTACAGATACAAAATACATCAGTGGTGCTTTAGCTCACCTAGTAAGACGTCGGACTCTCGTGCAGAAGACCTGGGTTTGATTCTGGATGTGAACATAGTTTATTTAGAGTTTCTTTTTTACATTAATGGTATATTTTTTTACAGTAAGATGCCCAAATTTTTATTTGAGACTCGCCGAACGGCATTGAATTCACAGATATAAAAGATGTGGGTCCAACTTTCATTTTGGAACAATTTTTCAAGCAAGGGAAGGGAATGATCTGAGCATGCAGGAGGACTGACCCATCATAAACCTTTGTCGGCTGTGCTGAAGAGAAAGGTACAGAACCACATTATTTAATTAATTAGCTGTGCGTTCTCCTGTCCACTGGGCCAGGGCCACCCACCCACACACACACACACACACACACACACACACACACACACACACACACACACACACACACACACACACACAAGGGACTGTCTCAGCTGTTATTTTCGTTAAGGAGTGTGCACGTACAGCATGCGCGCCTCGTGCATGAGCCTACTATTGAAGCTGCCGTTACGCTTTTGGCCTGAGGGGGCAATCGCGAGCATAAAAATCCAAAACTCCGTAAAGTCCGTTTAAAACTCTCAACAGAAATAGTTCAGAAAGGAAATTAAAATGTTATTTATTATTATTATTATTATAATTATTTATTGTGGCAGAATTTGGTGTGGTCACCGTAAAGACTCTGACACTAGTCAGTGATTCGATGCAACCTGCTGGGTTCCTTATATAGGACACGTTTAACTGATTGGCTTAACGAACTGACCTGGATTGGAAAGTTTACTATGTGAAGTGCCTTGAGACGACTCTTGTCGTGATTTGGTGCTATATGAATAAACTTGAATTGAATTGATTGATCGTGTTGTAAAGCGCCAAGGGGGGATTGAGGACTCTAAAAGGCCACATGATTCGTGATCAGCCCATGCCTTTCATACGAATAAGCTTTTCTACAGGACCAACACTTACCCACACCATGTGATGAACCGTGTAGACATCACTGTCTCCCATATAGACTCTGATGGCTCGCAGAGCAAAGCCAAACCTTTTCCCAGAGCTGTGGATGACCACTGGAGGTCTAAGGCAGCTGATACTGACAGACAGGTCTCGGCTGGGGGACGAGTCCCTGGATGACGGGTTGGACGACAGCGACAGAGACGATTTAGGACTTGGAGGAGGACCAGCAGAATCATCTAGGGTAAGAAAAAAGTGGACATTAAGAATAAACTCCATTCATTAAAAGAATAATGGAATAATTAAATAATTATCAGAAACAGAAATGACAAGTCATGCAAAGTTTTGAACAGAAAAGTCTAATTGTAAACAGAATTGTTCTTTAACACTAAAATAACATATTTAAATACATCATTATCAAGAATTACGAGAAAGAAACTAAAAAGTAAAGAACTTTAATTTTAAAAAAAGCGTCTTTCATAAGACACACTGTGGCGGCAAATCAGTGTAATACTGCTGCCACGGTATGTCATTAAAGCGTAATGCAGTTAGCACGTCGCTCTCATACTGCAGGTTTACTGGTGGTTCCCAGAAAATCTAAAAATAGGATGGAGGCAGATCTTTTAGCTATCAGGCTCCTCTCTGGTGGAACCAACTCCCAGCTTTAGTCCATGGGGCAGACACCTTGTCTACTTTTGAGAATAGGCTTAAAACGTTTTTATTTGATAGGGCCTATGGTTAAAATCTGATGTTAGCCTAAATCAGGACAAGAGGGGGAGTAGAGGGAGGTGGCGTGTACTAGGGGCTGCATGACTTAATTTTTTTTAAAGTCAACAGTCAAGTTATGAAAATCTAGTCGACTTTGACTAGTCGTTGATGACGTCATACACCTGAAACGGGTTGGTTCGCTGGAGTTTTGGACAATTAAAATTGCGCCCACATTTTCAGTTAAACACATCTCCCTTAACAACGGTAGTTTCTGCTTCAGCCCTCTCCCCCCTCCCCCTGCTCAGCGGCCGCAAACTCACTGATGCGCCTGCAGCCTCTCGGAGTTCCTGCTGCTCTAAACATTAAGATAATTATTTCATTTTCTGTTCCTCACTTCTGATTACCTTCAATGGTGTCTGTTTGTTGCAACCAGCAGGTACAAAACTAACTTGTTTTTATTTGACTATTTTTCTGTCCTGTCTGTTTATTATCTTCCTGCATCTCCTCTCAATCCTAAAGAGGAACTGCTACCTGGGTTCATATATATTCACCTCATGAGTTACCTTTGAACTGCAGTTCTAAAAGATCTACCGACCGCAGAAACAGCGGAGTGCTCGCCGGCCTCATCAGTGAGGTGCGTCACCGAGGACAAAACAGGTGATGCGCCCCGATCCACAGCAGCGAAACACATCAGGCACAAATAAAAGAATAAAAGACAGAAAACATAAAAGGAAATGAGCCGACATGAACGATCGCGTGTTAAATTAGTTTTGGAGGTGGAGACACCTGATTTGATAATGTTACTGTGGCCGTGCTCAGGACGCAGATGTCTGGAGCGCGTCAACAATCAAAGCTTTGCATGCGCAAGCTGGTTAAGGTTAGGATGGGGGTGAGGGGAAGGTTAAATTGCAAGAGGGTAAAGGTCACAATTTGGTTAAATGTCCGTTTTTCCGCGGGTGTCAGTACCGACACTCTGGCACAGCGCGTTTCCTCCCGACGCGCAGGAGCTTGTCACCTGCTGACAGCAGGCTGCTGTCTTTTCCGTGGACTGCATCTTGCCGGTCATTATCACGTGACAGCGACTAGTCGATGACAGGCATAAAAGTCACTATAGAGCGGTGAAGTCGACTAGTGACTAGTTCATACAACCCCTGCTACTGCTCCCCAGTGTTCTGCAGCATAATCAGCACGTTCTCTTTGAACTTGATATCAAATTTTCGCCTCCTCTTCGTCTCTGCACGGCTAAAGTTACCCTTGCGGTCTATCACTGGCAAATCAAAAGTGAGACGGATGACACAACCGCCCCCCGTACTTGCTTGTTACCACATTCCACCCGGCCACAATAATTCCTTAATTCGCTAGTTCTAGCAAGCGGTGCCACTTATGCCAAATTGCTCTAGCGGCATAACAAAAAATATATTATTTCAAGGCTAAATAACTTATTTGCTAAGCCTGCAAACAACTCCCATCAGATACCAACTTCATCTGACCACCAGCAGGCACCCGGGTTGTATCTCATCGGCCAGCCGTGCAAATTCAAAGGAAGCTACGGCCTCTGACGTTCCAGAAGTCAACTCCTCTCGGCAGCCTGGCCAAATCAACTTCCTGCCAGCTGGACCTACCGAGAACTCCTATCACAAGGGTAATTGTAGTCTCTCACTTGGTGTTGAATGGTTTTTATCATTAATTTGTTAACTTATTAAACATTCAGCCAGATTTATTTCATAACACAGACATCACACTTTTCTGAGTCACTTAGTTAAGCTCTTAAAACATACAAGGTCATGTTTCATCAGTTTATTCATTGTCTCAGTGGAAATAAGTTTGAATCACCAATTTTAATAGTTTGTCTCGCATCATCATTGTAGTAGAAATATAGTAATACATTGATTTTATAAACTATATTTTTGCCTCTGTGTCAAATTATTATAAAGTGTTGGTTCCCTGGCATTCCCAAAGTACCTAGTTTCATCATCTATTGAATATTAAAGGTTCAATAATATTGATAATTAGGGATGAGCGAGTACACCACTATCTGTATCTGTATCTGTTCAACCATCTAAATTATCTGCATCTATACCTGTACTCGGAATGGGCGTGGCCTAACCCGGAAGTAGGTGTAGTTTAACCGGAAGTGGGTGTGGTTAACATCAATACGTTATTTTAAGTCTGATCAGAAGTTGCTATGTGTATTGTTTATTTGAAAACTATTTACAGAGCAGCCTCAGAGTTGAGATTAAATGTTTTTGATCACAGTAGTAAAGGAACTATTACAGAACAGGTTTTTCAGTAAAATCAGAACATTAATATTTAAGTGCATGAATTAAGAGAGAGAGAGAAGAAAAGATCTTTTCTATAGCGCCTCTCAAGATGAAAATCACGAGGCGCTTCACAAAAACAAAACGTAAAATAGAAAAAAGAATTTAGAAAATGATTAAAACATATTTAAAATGAGCAAAAATAGACAATTGTGATTAAAAAATGTAAAGAAAGAGAGAGAGTGAATAGGAAAGAGGGAGTGGATCCTGAGGAAGAGGAGAGAGAGAGGAAAAAAAACCTGACCGGAGCGGAGGCAGTGACTGACGCAGCATGAGCCGTTTTCAGCTCTGTCTTGTCAAATGCACCACGTACGCTACGAACAAAGTGACTTTAAATAACTTTAAAAAGAAGCAAACTGAAGAAAACCTAGGGAGTACTGAAGAAACGTGAACAGTGAAGCAAGCACAGAGAGATCCGTGACTGACTGACTGACTGTCTGTCTGTCTGGCTGGCTGGCTGGCTGGCTGGCTGGCTGGACCGGACGCGGACTGAGCTGCCAGTTGCAGAGTTTTGTGTGTAGGGAGGGGCGGGCCCTCTATTTGACTGGCCAATCACAGAGCGTGAAGACAGTCAGTTACCCAATGAGGATTTTCCTTCAGCACGATTACAGATATTTACGAGTTTTACTCGTTTCATGCTCGTACTCGTCAAAAATGCTCATCCCTACTAGTTAACAAAACTAGCTCAGTGTGCTGCCCACTGGATTCTGCTGAGACGATATGTGTGAAAGCAGGATGATGGTGAATATGACCTCCACTGCATTCCACTGTGGAGACCATGGACAGCTCCTTCAGTGGCAGACTGAGACATCCCAGATGTGGAGCAGAATGCTACTGTAAGTCATTCATGTCCTCTGCAGTAACAGTGTACAACTCCTCAATGTAAGCTGTACTGGCATTATCATGGTACCGAATAACATCAATGCAATATTCAGTCTGTGTTCGATACTTGTGCAATACTGGTTTTACATAGTATGTCTGTGTCCCTTATGGGCCATTCCCATCTGTACCGGGTCGGCCCGGGCCGGGTAGCGTAGGTTGTTTACATATCTGGGTGGCCTGGTATTTTTCCGGGCCAACCAAGGCTCATTCTCAGCCCTCTTCTCGAGGGGGTCTGCTTCAGGCCGACCAGGGCCAACACACCCACTGCTGACAGCAAATCCACACCTTCCATTAGAGCAAGCCTCTGATTGGTGGGTAGAATCAGCCCACATGGGCTTAAGGCAAGGATGTGTGGAATCAACCGGGCCAGGCCGGGGCCGACTGGGGCTACCCGGCCCGGGCCGACCTGGTACAGATGGGAATGGCACATTAAAGTATGCTGCATAGTTCTGGAACCCAAGTTTCATGTTTGGTTTTGTTGTGGTTGAAGATTACAATAATAGGTTACTTTGTGTATGTACGTGTACCTTTGTTATTATTTCCTTTCACATGATTCTCTAAGTGTAAGTGCTGCTGTTACAAGAGAATTTCCCCACTGTGGGATCAATCCACCATATCTGGTTCATCAGAACTCAGCCCAATAGCATTTTTACTGATGTTCTTCAGTGTATGTGTGTACGGGAATGGGGTGGGGGGTATGGTATGGCTGTGCCAATGCTTTTAAATTGATGTTATTTTAATCTGTAAGGCACGTTTAGATGCATTCCTTGTAGGAAAAGTGCTTTAAACAAAATGAGAATCCGCACACTTCAATCTGCGATGTAGTTTATTGGTCCAGCTTTCGGTCAGAGACCTTCATCAGGAATTGTGGAGGTTCACACCAAACAATCCTTAGTTAAACAGGTTTGAAACTGAACTTTTTCTCATTCATTGGGGATTTCTACCTTCAATTAAAGGGAACTGCTATGGGCTCGACCTTTGCCCCAGATTATGCCAATTTATTTATGGTTTTTTTTGAAGAGAGGTCCATTTTTAATCCAGAGACGAACATATTCCACCATAAAATCCTAAAATGGTTCAGCTATTTGGATGATGTCTTTTGCCTGTTTCAGGGGGATTATGATGAAGCGGTAAACTTTGTATCCTTTCTGAACCCAGACTTGAAATTCTCCCTCCAGCATGATCCAGTACGTGTCCCTTTCCTTGACATGTGGGTGGAGATAAACAATGGTGGCTTAATCACCTCATTATACAAGAAACCAACAGACCATAACACCCTGTTACTCCAGCGCTCACCCAGGTTCCTAAAAGCCAATTCTTTGGATTAAGGCGCCTCTGCCATTCGGATGAAGACTATATGGAGAAGAGTTTGGAAATGAAGCAACGTTTTCAAGACAGAGGCTACTCTAATCAGTGTATTGAGGAAGCATGTGTCTCTGCACTATCCAAACCCAGATCGGAACTTTTGAAACAAAGTACAAACAAAGAAAAACACCACTCTGTAACATGTTTCACTACCTTTACCCCCCAAGCATATACAATTAAGCAAACTATTCTAAAACATTGGCACATCTTGGCTGGGGATCCAGCCCTGAAAGGGGCTTTCCAACATCCACCTCCTTTTGTCTACAAAAGGGGGCAGAATCTACGGGACAAAGTAGTGAAAGCCAATATTCTGCCCCCTCAAGAACAGCCAGCGGTCGCTCCTCTGCAGCAAGGAAACTACCCCTGTGGAAACTGCTCAGTGCCACAACACTGTTAAAACATCTGAGTTTCGGGCGTCCGAGAACAGGAAAAAGATCTTTGATTAGGGCCGTAATTACTTGTAACTCAAAGGATGTAATTTACCTGTTAAAATGTCCCTGTGATAAAGTCTGTGTTGGTAAAACAACAAGGCCGCTCAAACAGAGGATCAGTGAACACAAGAGTTCATTAGAAGAAAAGACTTGACCTATCCAGCAGCACGCCGTTTCAATGACGTTTCACACGCCGCGTCTTCAGTCAGATTCCAGGGGACTGAACATATTTCACTACATAGAGGAGGTGATATAGATAAAAAAAACTCTGCCAAAGGGAACTGTTCTGGATTTACACGTTGAAAACACTTCAACCGCTAGGTTTAAATGAGGACTTTGAGATGTCTGCGTTTCTTTAAAGATAGCACACGCTGCTGTGTTTTTATACTTCTCTGCCTTGCTGTATGACGGCTTTTTAGCTTGATGTTTGCAGCGTACAAACCTCTCACTTCCTGAGCTGATTTAGAAAGTTTTTAACATTAAGTGGAATGTTTTCACTGTCTGAGACTACATCTCCCATGATACTTTGCTAGATTCTGCCACACAGGTGTTTAAAATCAAATGACCTGTTTAACTAAGGATTGTTTGGTGTGAACCTCCACAACTCCTGATGAAGGTCTTTGACCGAAAGCTGGACCAGTAAACTCCTACATGGCAGATTGAAGTGTGCGGATTCTCATTTTGTTTATTCCACTTTTTGATCCAGCACCTTTTCCCAGATGACTCCTTCTACTCTATAGGAAAAGTGCCTTTATAAATAAAGTTTGATTAAATTTGATGCAGACTGAACATGAAAATAGTCTCCTACACCTATCTCCTTCATTAGCTTCTGACAGAAATTAGACAGCGAAACTGAAGGATGTGAAAAGTCTGACAGACCTACGTTACGCTGTGACTGTACCCCGTCCCCCAAGTATGACTTATGAGGCATTCATTCCTACAAGAGACAGCTGCAAATGTATTGAATAAAAAAGTGTTCCACACCTTCAACGCTTTAGAAAATCCCACAGATTCCTTGCTTTAGTGAAAAAAACGTGATCATGCCACCTTGTTGCCCCAGCCTGACCACAGCCAAAGGCCAGATGCTGCTTCAGCTTTGCAGCAAAGTGGTGCCATTGTTTTATGAAAGAGGCTAAAGAAGGTCCTCTGGCTTCCTGCTCTATTAGTCCTAACACCCAGGAAAAGTTTCCTTACCAGGGGTGATGATGAGAGACAGACCGGACACTGAAGTAGATTTGGGAACGCTCTCAGGTGGGGATCTGGGTTTCTCTGGGGTCTCGAGCTGGTGAGCAATCCGGCGAGAAGCTCCTCTACGGAACGATGGCCGTGTCCCAGTGCTGTTGCTTCGGAGACGGATTCTGCGCAGGTTGGACACCACCCCATCTGGGGGATAGAATTTAAATTCTGGCGCTTCACGTGTGCTAAATCATTTCAGAAAAGATTTCCGAGCCTTACCCTCCTCTTCTGTGGGAATGGTGAAGCGAGGCATGACGTCGAGGCTCTGGGTGCTGTTCGTTACCAGTGGGCTGGTGCTGCGCTCCAAATGGGAGGAGCTGGATGAAGCACACGGACGAATACTGGAAAGGAAACACCAGACTTCCAGTCAAACCAGACTTCCCACAAGCTGCCCCAGAATCCTTCCATGCATGTTCTAGCGGCAGTTTCTGCAGGAATTCAACCACAAACTACCCAATAATCAATATGAATACTGAATAAACTCTTACATGAAAACAGAGAAAACTCTTAAAAGAGTGAGTGACACCATCAGTGGAGACTTATTTCACCCATGGGCTGGGAATCAAAAACCAGTTCTTGTGGAGAACTGGTAATCGTTCTCCTGGGGACCCGTGAGCCGACTGAAAAGGGAGGAGATTTAAGAATGGCAGACGCCACACCGACCTCTACTGCCTATGGCGGCCGCATTTTCAGGGACTATTTTTTATTAAGTCTATGGTTAACAGGAAGTTTCGGCTAAGGCTTTAGCTCCTTTGAGATCTGGAGCTCGAACGGCGAGAGAACGTCTTTCATAAACCCGTTATCACACCAGAATGACTTTAATGTTATTCAGGCAAAACACGAGTGAGACTCGGGTGCCTTTACACCCGAGGTGTACACCCAGGAAGTTTCGTATCGATTGCTGGGGACAGCCAGCTCTCACTGAACAAACACTTTCCCACGTTTTCGGTGACAAGCAGTCGACTTAACTCATCAGATTTTAGCTAGCAGCAAACAAACCACAAGCGCTCCGCAATCGCAGTTATCGCGAGACTCGTGATGTATTTACAACGTACCAACACAGCCCGTCAGAAAAAGGCAGACACTAGATAAGCAGATATGTGACCAAAGGGAGGAAACACTACGAATATGCGAAAGCATTTGCACACAAAATATGAGATAACTTAAAGTAAAGGTCGAGATTTCGACCTGCTCCGAACTAGTGAACGTCAACGCAGCAAAAGCGGTGCGTTTGCTCCTGTTATTTCTGCAGGTAAATAATTAACTAACACTGCCTATCATGTTAGTGTTACTTGCCTTATATACACACATCTATGGGGAGAAAAACGTCTCAAAAGATCTGTGTGTGTGTGTGTGTGTGTCTAGATTTGTGCATGTGTATCTAGATTTGTGTGTGCGTAACTAAAGCTTTGTGTGTGTGTAACTCTTGATTTGTAACTTGTGTTTGCATTTTCGAGTGTAACTTCAGCGCCTACACATACACAGGGTATCTGCAGGTTTAAGGGAGCCAAATTTAAGACTTTTTAAGACCTTTTTTAAGGCCACTTTGACCAAATTTAAGCTACTTTTAAAATTAAGTTTAAGCTATAATGTCCAGCTATTGCCTGGAACCGGTGCTAACCATGTCGCGAACGTGGGATTAGCCATCCAGTTACCATTAAACCAACACAATCTCACACCCAAGGAGTCAAAATATGACGCTTGTGACCAAGCCTCACTATATGATGATTCGGGACGCCCCAGCGCGTCAGGAGACGAAGATCAGGGACACGCTGGAGCACGTGGCTCCGCTGGTGTCACTGTTTGACGAGCGCGGTCACACGGACATTATTCGACTATTTAAACTTCCCCTCACCCCAATCCTAACCTTAAGGTCCATAAACTGTGACCTTAAGGTTAGGATTGGGGTGAGGGGAAGGTTAAGTAGTTCTAATGTCTGTCTCAGCACCAGCGTCGTCACCGGTTTGTCCCTGATCGTCGTCTCCTGACATGCTGGGGCGTCCCGAATCGTCATATAGTGAGGCTTGGTCACACGCGTCATATTTTGACGACATGGGTGTGAGAATGTGTTGATTAAACTTCCACTTCCCCATGGCGCAAACTCCCACCAGCTTAACCAGCTAATGTGCTCATCTAAAAATAGTCCCCTTTCACAACCAACTGAATGTGTACTTTTCCGCTTACGCCAACATCGTACACAAAAAAATGCTGAACACCAACTAGAAAATCACAGAAATGGTATAGAAATAAAAGAATCTTGTTTATTGGGTCTTTGGTAATTTAAGACCTTTGGAAACTGTATTTAAGGATTATTTGTCATTTTTAAGGATTTTTAGGGCCTTAAATTTGGAAAAGCAAATTTAAGACTTTTTAAGACTTTTTAAGGACCCGCAGATACCCTGCATACAAACCATTGAATACACACACACATCACCTGGTATACACAGACAAAACTACATTACACACAGATCAGTTTACAAGTACAACAATCCCTTTGAGACACTTTTCACACCCGACTGATTTGTGCGTACATGGTGCGTTTGAATGCTGGGTGGAAGCTGGGAAATCCAAATTTCCTTTGGATTTAGTCTAAACTTGTGTTGACAGGACAAATATGTTTTTCTGTGGGAAAATAGAGGATCATCTAAATCATCTAAAATTGTTTATTTAGACATAAGTGTTTGTGAGCCATGAAAACATAGTGAAAGAAATGACTAATAAATGGCGAAGTGGTTCTCTGACTAGAAAAAAAATGCAGGGTTCAAAACGAGAGAAGGCACGCGAAGATGGCACGGCGTCACAGGGAGCCTAAAGGTTGATTTATGCTTGCCGCGTCCGCGAGGTTCGCACGGCTCCACGTGGCAAAATTGCGTCATTTTAACAACCACGCCCCTCCACCGCGCCTCCGCACGGCCCAAAATTTCCCCATCGCGCACTTAGGAAATTTTCTAACCACGCGGACGGTCGGACGCGGAAAAATCAAATCAAATCAAATCAAATCACTTTTATTGTCACGTCACATGTGCAGGTACACTGGTACAGTACATGCGAGTGAAATTCTTGTGTGCGAGCTTCACAGCAACAGCGTTGTAAAAATACAGTAATGTAAAAACATGTAAAATATAAAAATGGCTAATCTAAATATACAAATGAATAAAGTAAACAATAAGATAACAGATATAATATATACAGAGTCTGGTATGTGCAAAACTGTGGCATTAATGTACAGTATGGAGCGTGTAATGTTGGAGTTTCAGTAGTGAGGGTGAGGTGTCTGCGCCGTGTTCAGCAGTCTGATGGCCTGGCATGGCAGACTGGCAAGAACTAGTATGGCAGAGGTTCGTAAATACAGACATTTGTATGATTCAACTCTCAGAGATCACCGTGATCAACATGTTGTTAATAATTCTTGGAGAGAAATAGCTCGCACTGTCGGAAAAGACGAGGACGCTGTTAAAAATGCTGAAATACCATGTTGTAAACAGTAATTTCTACTTCTACTATGGTGTAGTGTTGGATGCATGCTGTAGAGCTCCATGCTGCCCCCTACAGTTTGGGAGAATATTGGCTCGCCGCAGAGACAAGCCGCGTGAACCATAAACGCTGCGAGTTGTGAAGCGCGTTCCATCCGCGAGCCGCATCACCAAGCGGAAAGTGAATACGTCAAACATAAACCAAGCCTTAGTCACACCTATCTACTTTCGGACCCCAGAAGAATGAAAAAATGAAAGCAAGTCAACGGGGCTAAAAATGCTCTTTTCTAATTCCACTTGTTATGTGCCATGGATTTCACATATGACGTCCGTGAATTTTAAAGAAGAATTTTGATGACAAGAACTCATTTATTTTCAAACAGGGGGAAATGCTATTTTAGGTTTTGTGTGAAAATAAGTCCAGGACTACAAATGCGCCTCACGAAAGTGACGTCATCGAACCAGACACAAAGAAAAACAGAGGGAAAATGGCTGTAAGTTCAGCGAACTTCAAATTCTTCCTTCAGGAGGAAAGAAACACCACAACTCTGTCCATTTGGTAAGTAGCCGCTACGCTGGGGGGAGGACACTCTGTGGTGACGTCACATTCGTGACGTGCCGATGTAGTCATGCTAATTACAAACTTTTACAAACTGATAAATCTCAAAGTACATGACTGCTGTGGTTGAAACACCCATCATTAGTTTTCCTTTAAATTGCAGTACAACATACGTGTGATCCAGGGTCTAAGGTAAAGCTAGACTTGCATTCACTTTTTCGTTCTTCTGGGGACTCGTGAGCCGACCGGAAAGGGAGGAGACTTAGGCTCCCTATGTTGATCTCTCCTCTGAAGTAAAAGTTAGACCTGCACACTTTGCAGTCTGGTTACAATGAGACAGCTATTACTTTAGACCATTTCAGATGTTTTATAGGGCTGACAGATTGATACACTGTCCCCATTTCTGTGTTAGCAGGTGCTAACGTCTGTGTGAGCTAAGCTACATTAGCCATTACAAGCTGTTGTGAACATAGGTGTGAATAGTTTTTGTGCTCTGTAAGACGAATAGAAAGATTGTGTTGCATTGCCAGACTTGCATTTGAATTTGTTCGGATTACATCAAGGGCAAAAAAGCTGCTCAGCACCTAATAAAAATGGTTTGAAATAATTTAGGAACTTCACTGCACAACTCTATTGACATGCCTGTCAAAATGTGTAGTTTTGAATGCATCATAAACTATGATGGACAAAAAATTCACTGAACAAGTCGGATCACAACTCCCAGCACTCACCGGACAAGGACATGCTTCTCGGGCTAGTTTGTGTGTGCCCAATAACATTTGGGCGGTTTACATATTATTGTGCACACACATAAACTGACCCATGAGGCACTTCGTTGTCTGGGGACAGTGTGTCAATCTTTCAGACCCATAAAACATCTGAAATGGTCTAAAATAATAGCTGTCTCATTACAACCTGACTGCAAAGCGTGCTGGACTAGGGCTGGGCGATATGACGATTTTAGACCGTTTTACGACCTACACATCTGGCGGTCTGTCACTTCTGAGAGACCTTTTTATCACGATTCACAGCTCTGCTGTTGAATTTCTGCCTCTGAATGAAAAGGGAACTTACTTCCGGCGAATGACGCGCCTTTGTTTGACCCTTAACCAATCAGAGTGAGTCATAGTAATATATTAGTGCCCCGCTTGTTTTCACCTGTGTGTGAACAAACATGGCTTCGGCCGCGGCTGAGAGCGACAACGAGGTTTTAGTTCCGAAGAGGAACGCCTCGTCCGTTATATGGAACTGGTTCGGTTTTTCACCAGATGACAAAGAGCAGCGAAACGTCATTTGCAAGGAGAGCGTCAAGGCAAGCGATGGCAACACCACAAACGTGTTTAATCACTTGAAAAGAAGGCATCCCAAATAATACAATGAGAGCCAGCTGGCAGCTAAAGCTAAAAAGCCTGCGGCGGCTAGTGCTTCTTCCAGGCAGCAAACGCTAACAAACACACAAAACTCACTCCCTACGACAGACAGCAGACGATGGAACAGCGTGACAGATGCAGTGACGTACCACTTGGTTAAAGATTTGTGTCCCGTGCGAACAGTAGGAGCGGGATTTAAGAACATGATAAAAACATTGGATCCGCGCTACGAGTTTTCCAGCCGCAAGTATTTTTCGAGCACAGCCATTCCACGCATGTACGCTGAATGCAAAGAGAGAGTTGCAGAAAATATTCAGAATGTGCAGTTTTTTGCTACCACAAGCGACCTCTGGTCCAGCCGCACATCAGAGCCGTATTTGAGCTTAACTATCCACTACATGAGCAACTGGGAGCTACATAGTATTTTGAACAAGTTCATGTTTGCACAATACGTTTGCAATTGACATGTTTGCACTTTAAATATGTTTACGATTTTAATTTACGTTAAGTTACTTGAAAAATGAGAAAAACAGATTTTTGTAATTGTTTCTCTCAGGGCTTTTATCATCTCTGGTGTGAGTTTAAAATATAAGTGTGTTAGCACTGTGCTGATTATCCCTAATATGAATGAATGTTTGTTTATTCAATGTTTCTCTCTAATAAGCAATTGAAGTTATGCTATTCATGGATAAAAAATCGAAATCGTGATAAAATATTGGAAAAATCGTGATATTCTATTTTTGCCATATCGCCCAGCCCTGTGCTGGACTTACTTTTACTTACTTCAGAGGAAAGATCACCAGGACGCTGCACCATCTTCTTGTGCCTTCTCCCGGTTTGAAGCCTGCTTTTTCCAGGCAGAGAACCACTCTGCCATTTATTAGTCATTTCTTTTAAACCTTTGACTGCGTTTTCATGACTCATAAACACATATATATCTAAATAAACAATTTTAGATGATTAAAAATTAAATGTAGGCCTATCTTTTATAACTACAGGATCCTGAGATACTCTATTTTTCCACAGAAAAACATATTTATCCCATCAACACAAACAAACTAATTCCAAAGGAAATTCTAATTTCCCGGCTTCCACCCGGCATTCAAACACACCACGTACGCACAAATCAATCGGGTCGTCATTAAAAGTGAAAGCACGTGCTATTTTTGCAGTTCTGCCTGAGCTCTGAGTTCAGCAAAATGGTAAATGGCCTGTGTTTGATATAGCGCCTTCTAGAGTCCTGGAACCCCCCAAGGCGCTTTACAACACAATCAGTCATTCACCCATTCACACACACATTCACACACTGGTGGGGATGAGCTACGATGTAGCCACAGCTGCCCTGGGGCGCACTGACAGAGGCGAGTCTGCCGAGCACTGGCGCCACCGGTCCCTCCGACCACCACCAGCAGGCAAGGTGGGTTAAGTGTCTTGCCCAAGGGCACAACAACAGCGACAGACTGAGCGGGGCTCGAACCTGCAACCTTCCGCTTACGGGGCGAGCGCTTAACTCCTGTGCCACCGTCGCCCAAAAGCTCACAGCTCCTGCTTAATGAGCATCCTACGGGGAGTCAAACCAGATGTTTCAGTGGAATAATTAGAGCGGCATGTGAACCATCCTTTTTGAATCAACAATTATTTTTTGCTCAATCCAACACCCATTCATCAGACGTTAACCAGTCCGCCAAAAGCCACCTGGGAAGTATCTCTTGACCAGTCGTGTGTAGACTGAGGTCGCCTACGATCTTTAGATACACCCGAAGCCCACTCGCTCGCTCTGAGACGACGACTTCGCCTGCACACCGGACCTCGGGGAGCTTCCATGATCCAGGGTGCGTAGACTAAACAAATGGCGTCAGAGTGGTTGATATAAATTTGATAACTTGTTAAATTACATCCAACAAACAGCCAAATAATTTTATAAAACCAGACCTCACACCTTTCTGAGTCACTTAGAAAACTCTTAAACATACCGGGTCATGTTTCATCAAGAGTTCATGCCTCGTCTCATCTGATTTCACTGTGAATCACCATTTATAATCATTTACCTTTCATATATATAGTTGTACATATTTTATAAACTATATTTTTGTCTCCGAGTCAAATTATTGTTTCCCTGGATTAACCAAAGTACCTAGTTTCATCATCGAGCAAACATTAACGGCTCAATAATATTGATGATCCATATTTTTATCCAATATTACATTTTATTGAATACAGTAATCCCTCGCTACTTCGCGGTTCGTTCATCGCGGATTTGCTGCTTCGCAGATTTTTTCTTTGGAGCATTTTTCAGGGGGAATTCACAGATTCGCTGTATTTTTCTATGCGAAATATCAAGAAATTCTTGTTTTTTTTCATCAATTTCATCATAAAATGCACTTTTTGTAATAAAACTAAAAATAACCAAGTAAAAAATTTTTTTTCTTGAGTTTTACCCACAAAAAGAGAATGTGATCATACGATAATTCAATAGGGAGCGTGGTTTCACAGACGCGGAAGTGATAGCGTCGGTGAAACGCCGGCTGATCTAGGAAACCCCCGAGCGTTCGAGCGTCAACGAAGTGACACGGAAATGCCGGGCTTTCCAGAAGTAAGTAAGATAACTTACTATGAGCTGATAGTTCGTTGGATTGATCGGTTGGTTGGAAACTCTGATCATGAATCTGAAGAAACGATGACTGAGTGGTGAGCTGGAAAGGCGACTTCCGTTGATAGCCGCGGTTTGTGACGTAGGTGCGACGTGGAGGGAATCCCCGCGAGGGGCATGCTGGGAGTCCCTACTTCGCGGATTTTCACCTATCGCGGCCAGGTCTGGAACGCATCTACCGCGATAAACGAGGGATTACTGTACCTTTATATTCTATCGACAATTTATTTAAAGAAACCACCAACAAATCGTGACGGTGGTAATGAAACTGTGTTAAAATGTACAAAATGTTCTAATTCATCTTGCCTGGCTTGGCAGCTCTCTGGGTGCTCTGCCTGAAACCTTCAGCTAGGTGGTGGAACCTCGGTCCCATTTGGTGTTGAGCAGGATAAAGAACCCAAAAATCAGAGCTGGCTTCTGATTGGGTAAAATGGACTAACATTAAATTCCTGGTGTGACTTCCCAAAAGCCCCAACCTGAAACCTGCTAAAAATGGAATCATGTTTAAGAGCAGAGCCCCTCCACGCTTAGACAGCAGTAGCACAACAGGTAGAGCGGGTTGTCCAGCCATCGGAAGGGTGCAGGTTCGATCCCGGCTCCAGACAGAGAATCCTGCTGTTGTGTCCTTAGGCAAGACACTTATGGGCCATTCCCATCTGTACCGGGTCGGCCCGGGCCGGGTAGCCCCAGTCGGCCCCAGCCTGGCCCGGTTGATTCCACACATCCTTGCCTTAAGCCCATGTGGGCTGATTCTACCCACCAATCAGAGGCTTGCTCTAATGGAAGGTGTGAATTTGCTGTCAGCAGTGGGTGTGTTGGCCCTGGTCGGCCTGAAGCAGACCCCCTCGAGAAGAGGGCTGAGAATGAACCTTGGTTGGCCCGGGAAAATACCAGGCCACCCAGATATGTAAACAACCTACGCTACCCGGCCCGGGCCGACCCGGTACAGATGGGAATGGCCCATTAACCCACCTTGCGTGCTGGTGGTGGTCGGAGGGACCAAACGTGTCAGTGTTCAGCAGGCCTCGCCTCTGTCAGTGTGCCCCAAGGCAGCTGTGGCTAGGTTGTAGCTCACCCCCAGCAGCGTGTGAATGACTGTGTTGTGAAGCACCTTGGGGTTGTAGAACACTAAGTAGGCGCTTTACAAATACAGGCCATTTCACCATCAAAGCTCATGATGAGAGGGTTAGGGTGGAATAAAATACTTCAGCAGTCGGACTCTGATCTGAATTAGTTGGAACTGGATTCAGGGCATGAATGTTCAGACCCATCTGGTCTTCATCTGAAGAACCGGTCTACTAGTGAGAAACTACGCATTCCCATAAAAGGTTAAAAGATGTTTCTATACATTTAGTTCATTTATACAACTCCTAATTGCTAATCTTTATTTGGCTGAAGCTGCAGCATTTCTGACTTTTTTTCTCACCGCTGGTTTAGTATAAAACACTTTACCAGCTGACTCTCTCACCTGTGTCCATCTGTCCTCTTGTCTCCACCAGTCAGGTGTTTGTGACTGTCTCCAGTGGAAGGACCTCCGCTGCCCTCCCACCTCTCCTTCTCCTCGCTGTGGCTTCGCTCTGATGATGACAGACTGTGGTTGGATGGGGTGGAAGTGGACAGGTGCTCCATGCTGCTGTAGACCTGCAGAGGTAAATGTAATCAGGATTGTGTTTTTTCTACCGTGGACAACACCTCAGCCCCATCTGAGTGGTGAGAGGCACCTTGCTGAAGCGGTGGGCAACAGAGGAGAACTGTCTGAGCTCCAGCGAAGATTCATCATCATTAGTTTCATCATCGTCGTCTGAGCCCAGATGGCAGTAGCGCTCTGATCTAACTGTAGGAAACAGCAGCAAACCATTAAGTAGAATAATAGGTCTGAACTTCTGAAATGCATCACATTCATGTCAGTTTGATATTACTGTAATTCTACCAAATGTAACCTGAGCAAAAACACCTGAAGAATAATTAGTCAGATTAGCTGTGTGTGCATTTTACACACACTGCATAATGTACATACTGTCAAAGTAACTGGTGTCCTCTTCAGACTCAAGTTGAGGAATGAACTCAGCTTTCTGCCTCAGCAGGCCGTTCCAGTCCAGACCCAGGAAGAATGTGTGCATCTTCACTTCTGTGGCTCCACCTGGAGTAGAAATCATAGGGTTGTCCGGGATCTCCTGACCACAGCATCTGGGGTGAATGCTGCTGTTGCAAACAATGAATCATGCATTCTAACTTTTTGTTTATTTATTTAACAATATCTTTAAGCAACACACACACACACACGCAAATATACACACACACACACACACATATATATATACAGTATATATATATATATATATATATATATATATATATTTTATATATATATATATATATATTATATATATAATATATAATATATATATTATATAAATATAATATATAATATATATATTATATATTATATATTATATATAATATATATATATATATTTTATATATATATATATATATATATATATATAATATATATATATATATATAATATATAATATATATATTATATAAATATAATATATAATATATATATTATATATTATATATATATATATAATATATATATTATATATTTTATATATATATATATAATATATATATATATTTTTTTATATATATATATATATATATAATATATATATATATATATATATATATATATATATAATATATATATATATATAATATATAATATATATATTATATAAATATAATATATAATATATATATTATATATTATATATATATATAATATATATATTATATATTTTATATATATATATAATATATATATAATATATATATATATATATATTATATATATATATATATATATATATATATATATATATATATATATATATATATATATATATATATATATATATGGCTGCGCAGTGGTTAAAGCTGTTGCCTTGCAGCAAGAAGGTCCTGGGTTCGATTCCCGGCCTGGGATCTTTCTGCATGGAGTTAGCATGTTCTCCCTGTGCATGCGTGGGTTCTCTCCGGGTGCTCCGGCTTCCTCCCACAGTCCAAAAACATGACTGTTAGGTTAATTGGTCTGTCTAGATTGTCCTTAGGTGTGTGTGTGTGTGTGTGTGTGTGTGTGTGTGTGTGTGTGTGTGTGTGTGTGTGTGTGTGTGTGTGTGTGTGTGTGTGTGTGTGTGTGCATGGTTGTTTGTCCTGTGTGTTTCTGTGTTGCCCTGGGATGGACTGGCTCTCTGTCCAGGGTGTACCCACCTGATTGCCCATTGACCGCTGGAGATAGTCAGCCCCCCCTTCCATGACATATGGAAGCAGGTAAAAAAATTAATAAAAAAAAACAAGAACTGGCAAACTGCCACACTTGCCCTGCCTTCCATGGAAGATATCCTACCACTCATGAAAAATAGACAGACCCATGATGATATTAGGAGAACACTACAATAATACAACATATTAAAAATAAGAATTTAAAGGCATTAATTACGGGTTTGGATGCGGAGAAAGCTTTTGATTCAGTTAGGTGGGAATTCTTGCTTAAAGTAATGACTAAATTTAATTTCCAAAGGGAATATATTCATATAGTTCAAGCCATTATACAATAATCCCAAAGCCAGAATCGAGGTACATGAAAGCTTATCTGGGGCTTTTGGACTGGAGAGGAGATGCCATCAAGGCTGTTCAGTGAGCACGCGGCTCTTTGCCATTTTCCTTGGACCATTAAGCCAATGGATAAAGCAACAGGAAAATATTAAAGGCAGAGTCATATCAGGTGTAGAGGAGGAAAATAGCATTATATGCTGATGATGCACTGATATATATGGGGGATCCAGAAGCCTCGCTCCCCGTAATAATGGCAGCTCTAACAGAGTTTGGAGAATTATCAGGTTACAAAATAAACATCCAAAAGACTCAAGTTATCACCTTTAACTA